GCACATGAGTCATCACATCCTTCTCCGCCATGCGATATAAGTACTATGCCAAACTCTCCGTCATGCGAGATTGGTTAACATATGTACTATGCCAACTTTACCCCGTCATGCGGGTATTTTCTCAAACTTTTCCCGCCATGTGGGTACTATCATAAACTTTTTTCCCGCCATGCGAGATATTCCTTTGAACGGACATAATTGCCAGGACTAGCTCATGTTCAATCATCAAATTCAGAAATAAATCCGAATATTCTTTTAACACACATGTTTAATCCAATGTTAGTCAAATTAAACATGTATATGACTTTTACAACTCTCATAAGTGAAACTGAAAATAAATTCTTCTCCACAGAGAGTACATAAAAGACATTTCTCAATGAAGACTCCCATTGATCTATCTCTTTTCTTGGATCAATATCCTAGAATTCTTTTCTTTTGAAGCCATTCTTTAAAGAGAACACAGTCTCTTAACCAATGGCATTCTTTCATACATAGCTTGCCCTTGGGCATTTCATCATCTGAGTCACAAGTACCCAGCTCATTTCTCTTACTACCTTCAAGAATGAAAGCATGGAGGTCTTTTGTCTGAAAAATATTCAACAATAATGCTCTTTAAACTTTGAAAACTTTATGTTCTATTCTATATCACCGTTGGGCAGAAATAGAATAAAACATCATTCTTCTACATTAATTCCACATCACCGTTGGGCAGAAATGGAATTAACGTATAGAAATTTAATAATCTTAAAAGCATAGAACTGCTCCTCAAAATTAAATTCTCCCGTTGGTTCGAATTTAATTAGAAGACAATCAACTTCATTGCAAATGAAATATAAAAATACATTTCTCTAGTTTAAGAGCATTCCTTGATCTTTATCTTTTCTCTGAAAAATTGGTCACTTTGATGCAAAATTCATCAGAGATTTAAACTTTAAACATAAACTCATAGAATTATAATATTGTTATCATCAACGTTGGTCGAAAATAACAATATCATAATTCAACTTTAACCTAAACTCATAAATAAACTTATAATATTGTTATCATCAACGTTGGTCGAGAAAATAACAATATTATAATTTATCTTAACTATCAACCGACTATTCCTCTAATTAAAATTTTCCAAATGATTCTAATTTTAATGGAGGATAAACTTTTCATCATTTATCGAATAACTATAACTACTCTTCAAATTAGAAGACAATAAACCTTCAACTTTGCAAATGAAACTTGACAAAATTTCTTTTCCTACTTTTGGAAGCATTTTACTTTACTCATCTGTTCTCTAAACAAATTATCACGTTGGATCAAATTTGAGTAGAGATAAAACATTTAAACTTAACTTTATTCATTCAAAATAGCTTCAAAATAAAAAAAAATGATAAACTGAAAACTCTCCTTCTTGTTCATTTGGCCCGGAGGCCTGCTTGGCTCGAAGGCCTGATCGCTTGTCCGCCCAATGACCGCCACAGAATACAAGACCAGCGCCAGAGCCGCAACTCCGGGCTGGGCCGGAAAGTGGCATCCCGCATGGGCATTGAGTGGCCCGGTCATTCCACGTCGTCGGATCAAATCCGACGGCCATCCGGCCGTTTCGCCTGATCAAAACCCCGCCGCGGTCAGCCTCCCTCTGAACCCTAACCTCATTTCTTTCTCCCATTCTCTCTCGCGCGTCTCTCTCTCTCTCTTAGCGCACAAGCACGAGCGACAATGAGCCGCCACGGAGGAGAAAGCGAAGACGGCGCCATCATGGGCCTTTTCAGCTTGGCCAGCGCCTCCCGTCGGGAGAGCGCGCGCCGCCGTCAAGCGGCTCCGTGTTGGCGCCTGCATACCATTCCCAGCGGATGCACCTCGGTGACGAACACCGCGCGCGTCCGGTCTTTCCGCATGACGACGGCGGAGATGGCAGCGATGAGGTAAGCCACCGGCCTTGCTTTTCCCTTTCCCCGTTTCTGCTTGTTTGGATCTTGCTTGCTCTTCTCGGTTTTGACCGATTGGGATGGGGATCGAGTTAGGGTTAGGGATTCACCCTTTTCTTCTTCTTCCCCGAGTCTGTAGCGGGTTAGGGTTCGGATCTCATCGTTCTCTTGAATCCGAGCCCTCTGTTTCCATCTTCACCCAGTTAGGGTTAGGGTTAAGGAACCCTTTCTGTCTGCTCAGATCCGAAGGATCTAATCCGTTCTTTTCCTTTGCTGTTCTCTTGATTCTCTTCCCGCGCGTCAGCAAGCCGGCGGCGGGTGAACCATCCCGAGTGAGGCGGTAGTGACGGCAGTGGGGAAACCTTCCCCGGACCATCCAATTTCTTTACGGTTAGGGTTCTTTAGGAGGATAATACGAATCAAATTCTAATCCCCTTCCTTCTTTTTCTTTCTATCACCCGAATAGGGTTTAGGGTTCGATGAACCCTCTGTATTTCTTTCTTTCGATCCAAATCGGATCTAGCTCCGTTCTGTTCTTTTCTTTGCCCCGATCTAGATCCACATACGGCCATACTAAACCTGGCTCTGATACCATTGTTAAATCCTTTGGGACCATCTAGGAGTGGATCCAGTGGGGTTTCATTGGGTTTCTCGTAGTAATGGTGTGAACAGAGAGAGACAGAGAGGGAGAGGAAGAGCTAGGGTTAGGTACTGACCATCCATTGAGTAGGGGATCCGGCCATCAGGTTCATCGGTGAAGTTCTGCGCTAGGCAGCGACGGTCGGTGAAGAGAGCGACGCAGTGAAGACCGTGGTGGCGCAGTGCAGTGGCGGCGGCAGTGCTTCCCGTCACTGGCTGCGCCCCTCTGTTAGATCGGAGTAGGGTTTCTAGGTGGGGCGTACGGCTCAGGCGAACCTCGTACCGAGAGCCGTCGACCCCACCTCTATTTAATGCGCAGTGCGACGGGGGCCCGCCAGCCATAGATGGACTGGGCGCCCCCGATCAGGGCGCGAGGTCAAGGCCCAAGTGGCCGTTGGGCCACTGTGGTTGGGAGATCAAACCAACACCTATACCTAGTCAGAGGCAAACCTTAGCATTTCTCAAGCTAGACCGGGCTAGAAATTTTTCGGGTTTGCGTTTCATTGTCTAAGCCCTATCCACTAATAAGTACCACGAGCATGTCTCTAGTAAGAGGTCATCGAATCCTAGCTTGGAAACGCGCACATGTGTTTCCTTTGGTGAAAAAAATATCATGTGACTAGCTTGTGACACACAACTGTGTTGACTAGTTAGGAGGCTTTTCTCAGGATTTTAAAAAATATATTGCTATTTTTGACTCTTTTAAAAAAATATATATATTTATAGACTATAAATTCTATATACAAAGACGTGTTTCTTAAGGCCTGTTCTTTCTCTATTGAGACGAGATGATCGACTGTCTCAGCAAATGACCCCTTTATAGAGACCATTTGAAAAAACAATCGACTATCTATCTGTCTTTGTAAATAAAAAATAAACAACTCTCAAACTACCTCTTCTGGTAGTAACAAAGGTGAAGTGGAAACAGTTTCTCCTCCCACGAAGCAACTTGAATGCCTACGGGAGTGTGTTGGTTGCCTGCATCCTCTTTGTCTTGGCTAGGTGGATCTATATAATCTGAGAAATAAGTATGTTTGGTTGCCCTACTGAGTGGATACAACCTGCATACAACCTTATCTTGGCCTGGTGGATGTACTCAAAATGAGCTCCATTGGCCATCCTGGCTGGATGGACACGATGCATCTCATGCTGGACCACATATCATCCTCTCATAAAGAGTCATTATGCCCAGCAATAAACACAACCAAACATCTTCACATGAGATTACTGTATCTACGCATGCAATCAACCAAACATTATTCTTTTATAACTAACACATAGCCTGCTTCCACTCATCTAGAATATACTATATACGCTATTAAAAGCAACCAAACACGGCGTTCATGTCTACGTGACCATCAGCCTGTTCGCTTAACGATCGTAAATTTCCAGCCAGGAACAGTGTTTTTTCTCTTACCCAACTAGCCAGCAGTAAATAATCCACGATACGATACGGCCTCCCGAATAGGCTGCATACCTAATAGACAACGAACATGAGAGAAAAGAAGGTTGGATGGCTCTTTGATTTGGTTACGTACTATCAAATTGACTTTCACCATTTCTTTGGTACCTGTCGCCTGAGCATTAGCCTCTCTTATCTCTACTCTTTTTTTTCCCGTCTCACAGGCAGATTTTTGTGGGGGCTGCTGCTCGCCCTGTTCGGCTGCTCATATAAGCCGGCTTATCAGTCATGGTACAATATTTTTCTTTTTCAACAAATCAGCCGTATAAATCAGCACAAGCAATTTATAGACCAGCCGAACAAGGCCAATTTGGAGAATTTGGTGTACTCCCTATGATATTTTTGAGAAAAAAACAAAATATTTTTTTATGCAGGTTATTTTCAGTGGAGCGTATTGGTTGCAGTTCTAGGTACTGCTGCAACATGAAGATAAAAAGGAGACTGCTTCGATGTGCAAGCAAAGCGTTAGAGATTATTGTTCTAGATGTGTTTGTCAAGAATGGACGGCAAAATAATAATAGAATTTGCTTATAATTTTCTCCTATTCAAGTATACTCTTTTTCTTTATCTTTGTCAGCAAATAAACTGACAACAACGTAAGACTTGGCTATGAACGGTCGCAGAGGGCAGGATTTTTTTCATTTTCTAAAAAAGCTCTCCTCTTTTTTGTAAGTGATAATTGACGCTAAAACCATTCTATTAACAAATTACGCACCAAACAAAAGGACTCAAATGCAAAAAAAAAAAACTATCAGTATTCTCTTTGTTAAAAAAAAAACAAATCCTCTTGGAAATACTGAAAAACACTGTGAGGTTAATTGACCCGAACAAGCAAGTGTTGGTGGCAGCTTGCAGGCTTGCACCCACCGATCTGACTTGGCTTCAATGGCGCGAAGCGGCGGAGCTATCTTGGAAACATCGTCGTCACTTGCCAGTTGTCACAGTTCCACAACGCTGCAGATTATTCCGCCGAGCTGCTCCTACGGGTATCGACTCCCCGGTGGTGGGTAGTAAGACGGCGTCCTCGCCGCTCCGTAGATCTCAGGGTGCCGTGTCCCCGGCGGAGGGTAGTACGAGCCGCCGGGAGGCGCCGGGTAGTACGGTAGTGCACGGTCAACTGTTCCTGGCGGCGGCGAAGGCGCCGATCTTGGATAAACTGGGTAGGCCGAGCCTGACTCCGGCGGCGGCGGGTACGTGCTGGTCGGAGGGGTCAAATTGGACGCCGGTGGTGGCGGGTACCCGCTCGGCGCCGCCGGTGGGTAGTTGGTCGACAGTGGCGGCGGGTAGCCGCTGTATTGTGCCGCCGGAGGCGCCGGGTAGTACGGTAGTGCACGGTCAACTGTTCCTGGCGGCGGCGAAGGCGCCGATCTTGGATAAACTGGGTAGGCCGAGCCTGACTCCGGCGGCGGTGGGTACGTGCTGGTCGGAGGGGTCAAATTGGACGCCGGTGGTGGCGGGTACCCGCTGGGCGGCGCCGGTGGGTAGTTGGTCGACGGTGGCGGCGGGTAGCTGCTGTATTGTGCCGCCGGAGGCGCCGGGCAGGCTGCACACGACGACGCAGGCGGTGGTGGTGGGTATGCCGTAGCAGCCCCTGTCAGCGGCGGCGGGTACCTGGTGAACTCTGCCGGAGGCGCCGGACAGGCTGCACATGACGCGGGTGGCGGTGGGTATGCTGTAGTAGCAGCAGCCGGCGGCGGGTAGCTGCTGTTGCTTGGCGCTGGAAACTGTGGATAAGGCGGCGGCGGAGGCGGGTAGCTGCGTGGGGACAACAATCCTTGCAGTGACGGATAGAGAGAAGCGGAAGCCGGCGGCGGGTACCCGGCGCTCTGTGGCGGGAAGTTTGCAGCCGCCACGGGTGGTGGATACGCTTCGCTTGAAGGAGGCGCGCAGCAAAAGCTCGGGTTTTGATCCGGCCGCGCACCACCCGGCGCCGGGTAGAGCTGCGGCTGCGGGCGCACGCCGGCGCCAGGGCCGCCGCTGATGGCGTATGCGAAGCTGAGCGTGCCGTTCGGCTTGCCGTCGGGGGCGCTCACCTGGTAGCTGACGTGGCGCAGCCCCGCGTCGTCTCCGGTCGCCACCGCCAGGTCGGCCACGGGCACGCTAGCCGTGCCGACGAGCTTGTTGCCGAGGATCGGCACCTGCGCCTTGACCTTGAACTCCACCACCACCAGCTGCTGCTGCGCCTGCGCGCCATCCCCGTCGAGGTCGAACGCGAACACCGCGTCATCCCAGTCCGGGCTCTCGCCGCCGTCGGCGTCCGGCTGCGTCTTCTCCCTGCGGCCGCCGAGGGACACCGCGGCGTAGAGCGGCGGCTTCTGGAACGGGACGAACGCCCTCACGCCGCGGCAGGAGATGGACTTGATGGTGATGCGCCGGCCGCCGGCGCCGGAGCCGGAGGCCGACGACATGGGCGGCTTCTTAGTGGCTTTGAAGCTCGGCGCGGTGGGGACTGGGGAGGGAAATCTGAGGCAAGTTTGGACGATGGATCTGGAGCGCGAGGGCAAGGCAGATGGATTTGAGAATTTGACCTTGAGTTCTTTAGTTTATTGGATCTCGGTGCAATTAATTTGCTGAGTTTTTGTTTGTCTGATCATGGACAGATGGGCAGAACAGTGTGCCTCACCTGTTGTTGCCTGTAAATGGACTCTGGCCTACTTTTCGGCCAAGAAATACAGTAGATTCTTTTATAATATTTTAGCATAAACATTAGCATAAACTAAATTTTAGCATAAACAAACAGAACATTTGCCTCCATCTTTAAATCTGCCCTTTGAAGATAGAAAAAAATGAATTTCATACATTAGATTAGATTTGTTTGCTTGCACCTGCAGGGGGTTCGAGTTGCTTGGTGCAGCATTTGATTGTTTATTGAACTTTTTGAAACAAATATGTTCAGTTCATATATGCTCTGCACACAAACTTTTGGACGAAATACCGAGTGACGCATAACGTGAACCACGAGTCGTGTCTGATGAGTCATGACTACTACACTTGTCCCTTCCCTCTTTTTTCTTTGTTCTTCCACTTTTTCTCATTAGCACACTCAATGGTGCTGGTACAATGCGTGTGACACAGTGTGACTGCGAGAGCTCACCACTCATGTACAAACAATACGAGTATTTGTCAACACACACACAAAGCATGTCTACGTCGAAGCAAGAAAATCTTCTCGAGGAAGTTTCAACTTCCACGCTCCTTCGCAACACGGGATATTTTTCCAAATCCTACATTTTTCCTATGAAAATTTCCTATAGAATTCATTTGAAATTTCTCATACATTTTTAACTGTCATTTTAGACTCTAATCTATATACTTGTCATTTTAGAGCAGGTTTAATACTTTTCTTTTCCTTTTCTTTTTTCTCTGTCGTTGAATACAGTAACTATCACACCTATATTTTAAACTTTATGTATTTTTAGATGCAATTATTTAAAAATTTTGTTGAACAATTCCATACGACACGTTCAATGCTTGTTGCGAGAAATGGTTAGAACCGTGTATATATCATACATTCTCGAGGCTTTTGACAACATATGAATCCTAATTAACTAAACAATTTGGAAAAAAACAAAAATCTATACTTGGTTTGTTAAATATTTTAGAAGAAATGTTCACATGTTGTATTATATGCAAAATTCTGGAGTGCATTATTGAATTTGTTGATCTTTCGGTTAAGATTTATTATTAGTGACCAATTTATTGTTAATCACGTCACTTAACAACTGCTAATGACAGTTGTATAGTAGGCATAAGAGAGACACCTTTTGACCAATCAACACCCTCTGGCCATTAGGCAACTGCCCATTGGGCTTGTATATAAATGTGTACTGTTCATCACAATAATACATCGGTCATTTCATTGATTGCTCTCGCTTTCACCGTTTCCACTTAACATGTTATCCGCACGCACGCTCGGACACCGCTGACGCGAATAGGAGAAGGAAGGAGAGGGAGTTTGTCGGGACTTCGTCGACGTCGCTGCATCTCAACCCGAGGTAGAAGATGGTAAACCCCATACCTTCCATGAATGCCATGGTCGACTCCATCACCAATGCAGTGGAGTCCGCAATCCACCGTGGCCACCACGCCGGTGGCCTTCGTCGCTTCATGCTCCAGGGCGCCGTCTGTCATGCCCTCCGGGACATCTCCGACCACCGGATTCCTCCTGGCCGCTTCCACCGCATCCGTACTGGAGGCAGTGGTAGCCACCGCTCGTCACTGCGCTCAAAGTCTCCGCTGCAGTTTGCCCCCGGCGTCTGCCCGACGCATGGCCCAGCCATGTTCGTCAAGCGCGTGGGGGCGCCGCCGGTGACGTCGTCGATGCCGTCGACGCTGCCGAGGCCGCCGGTGACACTGCTGCCGCCACCACCACCGTTGCCATCGACTGCGCTCGCGCTGCCTTGGAACGGCGGCGGTGGCACCATGGCCACGTGCCGTGGGGCCCCTCCGCTCTCCAACCGCAGCGTCGGATCGGAGATTTGGCCACCCAGCTTTGCCTACGACATCGACGTCACGCTTCCACCGCCACCTCCACCGTCTGGGTCGCGCTCCTATGCCAACGTGATGGCCAACCGCCACCAAGGCCTACGCCGGAATGCCCTCCCTCTCGGACACGCCCTCGGAGTTGGGTTCATCTCCTCCTCGGATGAGGAGGGGGTAGCTCACTGCCTCTGAGCGGCCTAGGACGGCCGATGGGGCCGGATCCGCCGTTCCCGACTCGTAGCAATGACCCTTGTGGCCAGAGCTCGCCGAGGATGAGCGGGGTCTGCCCCGCCGGCTGGCCTCCATAGCCGAAGTAAGGGCCTTGGCCTGAGCCCACCGTGAGAGGAGGGGGAGAGAGAGGAGGCACAAGACGACGGTAAGAATGATTGAAGGCGAAGTAGCAGAGGCGACTGCGGTCGGCAAAGCAGGCGGCGGCGGCGGTTGACTGGAGGAGACGATTAGGGTTTCCAAACCCTAACCGCTCCCCTCTTATAGCCCATAGCGGTAGGCGCCCGCATGGGCCGAATTGGCGGCCTGGGCCCAGGTTGCGGCCTGGCCGCCCGCGCCCGCGCCCTGCTGCTTGGCTGGCTAGGCCACACCTGGCTGGTTGCTGGGTTGTGCGCCTAGCTGGCCGGCTAGGCCGCGAGCCCTGCTGGGTTGTTTTGCCCTGCTTGAGGCCTAGAAAATGTTATTTCTTTGTTATTTTTGTTCTGCAAGAACATCAGTTTAACTGTATTGTTTGATGATGCTCTATACCTGCTGTACCTTGTCATTGTATATAAATGTGGTTTGATTTTATTATATTACAATGCAATATGTGATTCTATTATATTTTGGCGTATGTTGGTGCAACCAAACCCCTTTTTGCACCACATACATATTACACTTGTGACATTGATTATTAAATTGGAATATGTTGGTGCACCCAAAACCCTTGTTTTGCACCAACATATATGTTACATTTGTAATTTTATAATAGAATTGGGTATGTTGGTGCCCCCAAACCCCTTTTGCACCACATACATGTTAAATTAGCTAGTGACTTAGATGCAATTTAACAAAGTTATTCACAGAATTAGAAAACTTTAATTACTATTGGTTTAAAATTGCAATATAAATATCTTGATTATTTTGGTTAATTAATACAAGGTAATGGAGTCTATGGCATTGGCTACGTTTAATTCCTTGTGAATTATTCTGCCTAGAGACTGTGCCATAGGAGTGATTAAATCATCCGTTACTGAGAGGTCTACATCATGTTCCTCTATGACTTGATGATTACCTACACTGTATTCTTACCCAAAATAATGGTTTTGGATTGTTATAAATGATCTACATCCAAGCGATGATTACCATTTTGCATCATATTATTTTGCTATTACACAAGATGGTCGAACCCTAAGCAATGGTTGTGTTTAATTCACTTGTGAATTATCCTGTCCAGAGACCGTGCTTAGGCAGCAATATATTTGCCTACCATAAAGATCTACTATTTGTCTTTGACTTAGAGACTATCTGTCTTGTGTATATAAAAAAATTATGATGATTTGTTGTATGGTCTACACAATTTTGTGATTACCTACAACACTCCAAAACTATGATAAGATATAAACTTTTAAAATATTACACCTAGTATTACAATATTACCATGTTGATTTTAATTTACCAAATGATAAATTAATTAATCCATGGTTGTCCACGTAGGATCATGGCCACTAAGGAGTTCGAGGAACTCGCGTTAATTGGCAGCAATTACCCTACATGGGCTTCTGATATCAAGATAGCGCTCACATCTCATAGTCTTTTGGCTACAATTTAGGAACCCCAAACTGGGGGCGTCCTGCAAGATAAGCATACCTATACTGCTTTAGCTTTGCTACGACTTTATATTCATAAGGACCTTAAATCTGAATATCTTATGATTGAAAATCCTCACGAATTATGGGTCGCTCTTAAAGAGCGATATGAGCAGCAAAAAAACTTATTTGGCCTGAGGCCAATCATAAATGGAATCATTTATGTCTCAAGATTTCAAATCTGTGGCAGACTATAATCACGTTGTTCATAGGATTTGTTCTAAGTTGAAGTTTTGTGAAAAAGAGCCAACGGATGCAGACAAGATAGAGAAAACACTCTCCACTATGCTTCCATTTGATAGAGTATTGCAACAGCAATACAGGGCTCATAATTACTAGCTTTATTCCCAGCTTATTCATACATTGACTCAGGCAGAAAAACATGATGAACTTCTTCTAAAGAATCATCATAAGCGCCCTGTTGGTTCGGCGCCTCTGCCTGAGGTTCACAACGTACAAAAAATACTAGTAATAAGTTCAATGGATCTTTTCCAAACAACAAAACTGGTAAACGCAAACACAACAAGAGACAAAGGCCTAATTCAAACAAGAGGAAGAAGGACAATGCGAAATCCAAAAATGACAATAAGTGTCATAGATGAGATTTTTCGCATTTTGCCAAGAATTGCTGTGCACCTAAGCATCTGGTTGGTTTGTACCAAAAGTCCTTAAAAGAGGTCAAGCCAGTAGGAGACACAAGATATGAGGCACACTTTAATCTTGTAACCGAGGCTATCCCGAAAGAGGGTTATTCCAATCAGGCCATAATAGAACAAGTCAACAACAATTCTCTTAACATTGAAGAAAACCTTCCATCTACGGACAACATGCTCCTAGACTTTGGTTCTAGAGACATGTTTGGAGATTTGGAGTAATCTCAGTCCAACATTTGATATCTCACTTGATAAATGTTGTAATAGTTTAAGTCATACAAACATATAGTTGTTTTGGGTTGTATTATTTAGTGTGCTTGAGAGTTGTACAAAGTTCTTTATATTGTTGTTAAGTTGTACCAACACATTGATATTGTAATATCATACTCTTATACTTGATATTCAATATATTGTATG